AGATCCCTATTAAATTATATAAAAAAGGTAAATAAGGGTCGAAAAGGTGAAAGTAGCCAAAGTTTCGGTAGAAGCAACAGACTTAACTAAATCAAATGTTCTAAATTCGATAAAACTACCTAGACATTTTGTGGGCTTCTGGGTATTGCCCAAGTAACTGCTGTACCTACCCCGAATTGGAACGGATTTATGTCGTTAGTTCTAGAAAGGACCAAACCATTTGAGAAGTTCAAAATAGTGGCGTTACCATTCATAAACTTAAGTCCAAGTGATCCTTCTATCATATATGCAGCCTTGGAATTTGTATTATCAGAGACCAGAAAAGCCACCAACAGAGTTGTATAGTTACGCTCGACCAACCACTATTCCAGAGAGCGTCAGAAATAGTGTATGCAAAGGAAATGCCTATAATTTTGAGATTGGACGGTTTTCACCTGCTTATGTCCTTTATGGGTGCTGTGGGGCTTATTATGACAGGATTAGGATTGGAAGATTTGTGGGCACAGATCTATGCTAGAGTAACTGTTTCTCATGTGGTAGCAGGTCATGTCTATTCAAGAGTCATCAGGGCACACTTTCTAACTCACTGGGCGCTTACTATTTTGATAATGGATTTATGTAGCGTTCTTGACGAAACTTTCCTTAGCAATTTACATAAAGACGCCTTTATTAAAATTGTTTCTTTAGATGACGTTGTCAGCTCACATGTTTTAGAAAATTCAGATGTAAATTTGAATACTACCAGTGGGAGATTAAAACCTAAAAACAATACATCGAAACTATGGATACAGTACCACGAAATGGTAACTATAATAGGTGGGTTCGGCTTGCTCACTCCGAGTGACTCCATTCGCACTCCAGCCGTTCGGGTTAAGGTTCGGGTATTGCTTTTTACCTTAGAGCAGGTAAAGGTAAAGGAGTAGTAACCTGGATTTGGAAAATGAAGCCGTTTTTTTCCAGGTATTTTGGCCCACAAAAAATGGCGGTTATGGCAATTCAATGCTTTACCTGTATTTTGGTGCCAAACACCTGCCAAAAACTTGGCTTCACTTTAGTTTCATCATAAGCAGAATGGCGCGCTCCTACTCCTTATGTCCGTAGGACAGCGCTTTACCTGCTCCAAGCTTTTTACCGTATTAGGGGTGACTCCATTGGCTCTGTTCACTCCACTCCAACTCCGTGCTGAATAACCGAACCTAGCTAATGAATTTTTTTCTTAAAGCCGAACGTTCTGGGGATTGGGAAATGCACGTAACAGCTGTAAAGATGATGCTTTCATTTTTCCATGCTGCAGGTCATTTCCATTACGCAGTCTGCTCACCTTATATACAAAATATGGGCAAACCAGAACAAAGTATGCTGTCTAGTGAACTTAAGCAGTTTTGTGATATGATATTTTACGTTACCTACATCGGTCGCACCGACAAACTATGGTCGAGTACTTTGAGTGACACTGCATAGAGCAGTATCTTAATGAGATCAATGAAGACCTCGGGTGGCCTAACTCACGGAAGGGGAGTAACCGAGAGCTCTATAACAAAATGGACGCTTACTATGATATACACTGCCGAAGCATGCGATGCTCTGGAGTTTTTTTGTGGTGTTCGTTCCGTTCAATCTGAACGACATATTGAACTAAGAGATTCGCTAATTGGCCGAGACAACAAGGTGAAGTTTTGGGATGGTTACAAAACCACAATCCTTTTGAAGACCATTTTAGTCAGCTTTCATGCATAACTAATGGAGTTGTAGCAGAAGAAAATTTCACAAGGCAAAGGAAATAGGAATAGACCTAGTAGAAGATATGGTAGATAAAAGTTTTTCTGAACTGCATTTTAAAATGAAAAATAAAGTAAAGCCATTAGTATCAGCAAGCAAAGAAGTGAAGTTGCGTGATGATACTATGTTTCTTAACTCACAGCAGTTATTTAGAATAATTTGACTGAAAAAAAGTGATCAAGACTTGAAAAACTATTTTTGCTTTGAGTTAGCTCATTCTCCACCATCTTTTGTTTTGTAATCATCTAATGAGAAAAGGAAATAAAGCCAGTTTAATACCACTGTTAAAAATTGAAAGTTGCAGCAATTCCATGAACGAAACCACATATGTTATTGATGGTGGGTGGCTGCTAAATCGAGTTATATGGCCAAAATTTCATACTTTTGCACAAGTGGCAATGCTATATACATATATCTTACGTATTAAAACATTTTGGTGAAAATGCGATAATTGTGTTCGATGGATATAGGTACTAACATTCCTTCTATAAAAGATGAAGAACATCGACGGATAAATTCCAATTAATACAATTACTGAGAGAACGATTTAGAGAGAAAAGTATTTCAACGTTGGAAGCTAGTGCAGATGCGGACACCTTAATTGTGAGCATAGCCATTAGGTTGGCAAAAGAACTAGTAAATAGGTCGGTAGTGGTATTGAGGGAAGACACAGATTTAATCGTTTTGTTAATTATTTTGAGCGGTGACAGATCAAATCTCTATTTTAAAAAAGTGGGTGGCGGCGACAATGAAGATAAAATTTTCCATTTGAAAAGTTTGCGAAGATTTGGGACAGCCTCTTTTTAACAGCATTATTTTCATTCATGCCATTAGTGGCTGTGATACTACTTCTTATCTCTATAAGAAAGCCAAGAAAGGGAAATCGGCAGCTTTTAAGGTGTTTGAGAAGCATGAATTTATGCATGACAAAAGTCTTCAGGGATAAGAATGCGGATCCAGATGAACTAGTAAACGTTGGTATTGAATTTGTCTCCTTCATGTACGGATCATGAGGCATTACGATATTGGTATGTATAGCTAAGCAGACGCTCGACTAATCTTTCGATTTGGCAGTTCTTCCCCCAACCAAAGATGGTCTTAAGCAACATATTTTAAGGTAGTGCCTCAAATGGTGATTACATTAATATAAACCAAATAATTTCTCCTATATTTTCGGGGCATATATTCAAATACAGGAATGGATGGGAAATCTCCTAGCCCTGGAAAAATTTGGATGGAAAGTATCAAGAAATGAAATGCTTCCAATCACAATGCAGCGATTCCCTGCACCAGAAGAACTATTAAGTCTGATCTACTGTAAATGTAGAAACGGCTGCCAAAAAAAAAATGTGCAACAAGTCAGACGCTGCAGTTCTATCTGCCTTCACTGCCATGGAATAGACTGCAAATATGCTTTGTTTTCTAGATGATGATCTGTTCAATGACTGAGTTCCAGGAATAGAAAGTTAGTTAGTGGCATCGGATAGTTTAATTTAGAGTCACAAGAAAATCCAATTTTTTTTTTTAGTTTTCCATTTTTTCTCTTTCAGGAAATTTATATTTTTAGTAAGGTACCTATACCTAAAATAAAAGCAATTTTTTGTGCAATGTTTCAAGTTCAAAATTCTGTAAAAATAAAAAAAAATCTCACAATTGCTTCAAGGGACAAGAAAATATTTCATTTTTGAAGATGAGGCCAGACGGCCATGTTTTTTCAAGCTGACGTTTTCGATTTTTTGGCATTTTTATATATTTATTCCTGGACATATAATACATCGATTTCCATTGGAAAAAAATATCCCCTAAACTTCATTTCAAAACTAAATTTTGCCTGGTCTACTAGAGTTACATTCAGATCAGGGACAAAAAAAACTTCGAATCTGCCATCTTTAGGGAAATTTGTGAGATCATGGGCATTCATAAGCCAAGGACAACACCTTTAGATCCACAATCCACAGTCTGATGGCATGGAAGAGCGATTTAATAAGATCATAGAGGAACACCAGACAAAAGTAGTCGAAAAGAACCCGCGAGATAGGGACAAACATTTGCCTCTATTTTTAAAGCCTTACAGAGAAGCTGTTCACGAGTCAACAGGTGAAAGTCCAGCTAGAATCGTTTTTGAAAGGGAACTCAGGTTTCTTTGCGATCTGATGTTTGGAATACCTGAAGAAGACTGAAAATGAATTCGAGATTATGCAGATGAAGTGAGGGCGCGACTTCTGGGAATACACGATTTAGCTCGGGAGCATATTCAGTTGGCCAGTGACCGAATGAAGACCAGATACGACTGGAAAGCCAATTCAGCCGGATTTCAAGAAGGTGATTTAGTGTGGCTGGTATAATCTAGCAAGAAAGAAAAGTTTCGCCGAAATTGTCTTCAGCATGGGAACGACCTTACAGAATAATCAAGGGGATGGTTTATCGAGTTCAGCGCAACACCAGGAGTAAGATGAAAGTTGTACATTTGGACAGATTGACGAAATATCATGGGCGCGAAGTTGATCGGAACGATCAACCTTAAGAGGAGGGCAGTGTGGCGTGTTCGCCAGCATGTACAGAATCTAACTTGGAATCTAAAAAATACTTCTTTATTCGGGCGAAAAGATTATTGCGTTTATTCTGGATTCTACAAGAATAGATTGCGGATATATAAAGGCCGGTATTAGTTAGTAGTTTTAAGTTTAAGATTGGCTGTGATACGTTCGATAGTGATTATTGTAAAAGTTGCAAAGAGTTGAGTTGTTTGAGTGAAGTAATTATAGGGTCGAGTGTGTAGTAACGTGGAATAAATTATTGTTGTTTTAATTGTACTTTGATTCTCTGTTTACGGCACATGGTTCTTCTGCAGTTGACTATCCCCCTTCGTGGCACAGAATTGCTGCTCCTGATACTATCTCTCGAGTATCCAGGTCATCGAGACCAACAAATATTCATCCAGTCTCTTCGCAGGAAAGACCATCTCAGGTTCGTTTTGAGCATGAATATCCAAATTTTTCCAGGCAAGCCCACGTTAATTCGGCTACATAAGAAACGAACCCAAGATATCTGTCACGCACCCCAGAGACATGACAGTACGTATATCGGGGATGTTTTGATTTCCATGTGAAAAGTATTAAAATACAGTTTTCTAAACTGAAACATCAACAACAGATGTAAATAAGTGCATAAATCAAATTACTTTCAGGTTTACAATAGATATGTGGCAATTTTAAAGTTACCTTCGGAATTATCTGGGTTATTATAGTTCTGATACTGTTCAGTTACTCTTGGAGCTTGAGCCAAATGTAAGTTCGGTTGAATCTGATTAGGTGTTTCTAACCGATCTGGCGAAGAATCGTAAGCAGAATTTCCATAAACCGGACGTAAAACTGGTACACTGGGAGTCGTTTGTATTGGAACAACATAGCCTGCAATAAAATAATTATTATAGACTAAATAAATAAGCAGCAAAAATAACAGGAATTATTAATGTCAAATAAAATTCTTACCTAAGTAACCGTTCGGCCTGGAAGTGATTGGTTGTTCATTAAGCGGTGGACAGTGATAAGAAACACCAATTACTTTAGTGTGGTTCGTTTCCATTTCTGATGTAATTTCAGGCAAGGCTGCGTCACATAGAATAGGGTTATCTGGAATCAAGTATATCAATAAACAAAGTGCTTTTATCTGAACTCAAGTATATTTCACCTGTTAGTAAGATTTTTAAGGTATCATATGTACCATCGTGCACTCCATGTTCAATCTTACACCTTGTCTTCGTTACAAGTTCTCTACCCAAAGCTACAATATGATTACTGGAAAGATCCGCGTCACAAAGAACAGGCAGGCCATGGAAATCGTGCTCTAATATGGTTAGCTGATTGTGGGTCGCTTTCAATTCAGACAATCTGGGTAGATATGTTTTGCTCATTTCTTCCAAAGTTTTCAACTGATTGTGCGAAATATCCAGTAACCTTAGTTGATCTAGGTTTATCAAATCGTCGGGAGATATTCTTCTCAATTTATTGAAGCTAAGATCGAGTCTAAGCAGCTCTGAGAGGCCGCTCAGAGCTGCATTTAAAGTTTCTAATGCGTTGTGATCGAGTTTTAATTCAGTTAGTCTGATGTTGGGCTCGACAAGGTTCTGAAAATTATATCAGTTAAAGTTTCATAATAAATGAGGCACTAGTTTCGTGGAGGGTAGTGTTAGCAACAATAAATAAATCAATTATTTCACATATATCAACATTAAAATTGATTTATTAAAATGTAGTAAGGAGAGAAATTGCAACTCTAGGCCTCCACTAGCCTTTTTTTTTTCACTCTATATTATTTCCGAGGGTTGAAATTTATTGTGAAGAAGCAGAATAATATGCTGGACACTAGATCAAGAGGCAAACCACAGATGAGATTGAGGAAAACCACCTATTTAAAATATAATTTTTTCAAATCCTAACTTTTTCAAAACGTCTACTATAGAAAAGCAAATGGTAAATGTTGCAAGCATGTATGCGCTGTGAAATTTATGGAAACGGGGGCGCGCCACAGAGAAAGGTACCGAAGACTAGACAGAAGAGAATGAGATACTAGAGAACAAGCTGGGCGCTATTATTCATTATTCAATTTCTATTTTGTATTAAACTGATTGTTCAATCCAATTTGGGATTAGTTTGTGTGTCATAAGAAGCATTCACAGGTCAGTTAAATAAATGTTATTTTGTTTTTGAGATTTCATTTTTTGCAAGTAGGTATTTCCATTTTTATGTTTTTTTGTTTGTTTATAACATGTGCATTGTTTATATATTTGATAAAATCGTTCCATGCTGTAAATAACGCAGATAAAAAAGTAAATTAGAACCTAGAAAAATTATGTACCTACTCTCTTTTGTGCTGGGATTTTGATTTTTGGTATTTGGGATTTTGATTTTTGGTATTCAGAGCGTACATTAGGGCCTTGTTGAATCTACTAACACTTTCCTACCCTGAGGAGCGAATATCCTAGCAAACAAATTGAAATAATCAATCTAGAGATATTGGCTCAAAATAACAACTTATAGTTGAGTAGCCTCCCGCACAGGGACCTCAGTACCTGCTGGTGAAACTGGCTAACTAACAAAAAACTCTTCAGTATTGAATATAGGTAGTGTTGATTGAATGTAGTATGTGGGATTAAAATGCTTGCACAAGGACAGGGGCGGTACCTAATTTAAATAATTAATATTGACTCACAATTATTTATTAAAATGACACAGTATGTTTTGATTTTTAAGGAATGTTAGTTCGAGGATTTCTCAGCCGTGCTCTTTCCCCTCGTGAGTTCTAGGTCGAAGAACGGTGCGATTTTCTGATAATGAATTGAACGTTTCACAAATTTTTCGTTTATTTTACATATTACAACTTCCCTTAAATTTCCCCAATTTTGCTATTGTTGGGCGCATATCAAGTAAGTAAAACTGAGTACGTTTCGACAACGTAGGTCCTATTTGTTTTTCATTTCGTTTTTCAGAAGATTTGTTAAAAGAAAATATAATGAAAATTCAAACCGTTCAATTTTGCTGAACGAACCTGGGTATGTTATATTACAAGATGGAACGACGACCTCAAGCTAGCGATGTCTTCGTCTGTGGTGACTTTGCTTGATTAAAAAACGATTTCACTTCCAAAAGTTGTGTCGTCTAGTCAAACAATAATATAAACAAAACCAATAAATATAATAATTTCTACACAAACTGATTATTGATAATGATCTGATAAATAGACTCTTGAAAAAAAATTGCAGCAACGTCCGATAAAAATGGTTTTTTGTTCTCTTGTTCCTAATAAAAGATCGCTGTGGGAATAATTACATTATTATAAATATAAGTTCTGGCAAACATGAAGACTATCTACTTTATAACTTCTATTATCCTTGCATTTCATTTAAGAATTGCATTTGCGACCAATACCATTGATGATAAACTACCCAACTTTCACATGGATGATGAATTGTCTGCGGAAGAGATAGAAAACTTGAAAGAATTAGTGAATAGAGAGTTTAAACTTCAAGATTTATCGTAAGTAAATTTAAAATTCAATATAACCAATACAAAATTGTAATTTTTCCAAAGAAAAGTACAAACGCCGAGTGAAGATGTCACGCTAAACGATTTTATAGATAAACTTCTTGCAAATGTGAGACGATTGATTGTGGATGACGGACTTGATTGTACTTCTTTGCCGGATTTTGCAGTAAACGTAAATAGCAAGAGTAATGAAGCCTATATAACTTTTTTCTATAATGCTATTTTAGATTGGAATCGGAGAAACAAAATTAACTGAGGGACAACTAAACGATACTTCCACAATTGAGAGAAGAGGCAATACTGTACTCAGTTACAATAGCGACATGAAAAGGTTATCATTAAAAATGACTCTTGGATTTCAGGATTTAAAGGTAGGTATCCAAATATTATATATATTGCATCGTAGATTTAATTGTGTCATTTTATAGTTTATTTTTAAATATTATACCAAAGTAACTCTATTCAGTATAACTGGAAACCTCCACGGAGCCATCAAAGACATTCACATTAATGTTCAAATAGGATTTGATTTTAATACTGAGCTTGTTTATGTGGATTACATTGATTTTCAAAATACTGGGTGTGTATTACTAATATAAAATTTGAAAAAAGTAGTACTAAAATATGTTGTAGCTCAATAGATCTCGAAGTATCTGGACATGCCTTTATCGATTGGATCACAAACGCAATGTCTTTCGTTCTTACTGGTCTACTACACAATATGATTCTTAACATTGCTGAAAATTTGATTGCAGATCCCATAGAAGCAATTGTCGAATTTATCAACAAAATATTGCATCCAGCTTTGTTTTGATATACTTTTACAGATAAAGTAGGTAATTTAGATTAATAATAATTATCAGGGACATATAATATAAAGAGAGATAGATACTTACCGAGGCTGGTCCAACCAAATTAGAAATCTGGTTAAAGGACAAATCAATTCTTCTGAGCCTCTCCAAGCCAATTATTTCATTGAAAGAGAACTCCGTGAGTAGATTGTATTGCATATTTAGCGTCTCCAAGCTTTTCAGAGGAATCAGAGAATTATTCAGTGTAGTTATTTGATTGTGAGCTAATTCTAATGTATCCAACACTTCGCATTCTAAGAAATCAGTAGCAGTGATCTACAAAAAATAAATATTCTTGGTATTGCAGTTCATACATTTCCAGAAGATGGAATAAAATTTTAGATTTAAATTAGACTCAATTACTTACTGTGTGTATTTGATTGGATTCGAGATCTATCCTTTCCAGAGCCTTGCATCCCGAAACCGCTCCATCCAGTGTGGTAAATTCATTATTATTCAAGAAAACTGTTTCAAGCCGCGGATAGTTAGATAACTCTTGAGGAACCCTCACTAACCTAGAAGAAATCCAATAAGAATGAAATCCTAAGTTTAAAAAGTTATAGTGAACAGTTCATGTGGAAATGAGGGATTCCTCATTTACTTACATGAGGGTGAAAACTACTTAACAATAAACCTTAAACAAATTATTACCTGTTATGGGACGCGTGAATCATTCTCAGATGTGGAGCTTCATACGGAAGTTGTCCTTGCAAATCCACAAACTCGTTTGCATTCAGAAATAACCAACTTAAATTTCTCAAACCTAAAAATTGTATGTATAAGCATGGATATTCAATTATTCGCGTAGTTATACCTGTCAAGGTCCCATTCAAATGATATATCCTATTTCGGCCGAGGTGTAATCGCTGAATTTGGTACGGGATTGAGCTACGGTCGATTCTAGATATTTGATTTCCAGAAAGAACTAGTGTTCTTATGTCATGTAAATCCTATAAAAACAAATTTCATATAATATATTGGTATATATTTGACTTCGGGCACTTACTTGGAAGTCGTTATACATTATTTCTTTTATTTTTGTCCTTCCAAGATCGGCTGTCTGAATATTGGGCATATATTTCCAGAGGTGTCCTGGTATGGCATCAATCGGGGTATCAGCGAAGCTTACGTAGGTTACTCTGGACATGCCATTGAAGGTGTTTTCGTCGAGATATCTGAAATGAAACTTGTATGGAAAAAAGATACATCAACTTTCAACGTGACGTGTTGGAGTACCTCCTAGATATTGTTACGATGCGCCTCGCGATGCGCTTTTGCCACGGTATCCAGAATACATGCCAAAATTCCCGAAAAAATCTAATAAGTTCTGCTTTATTCGAGCATCGGATTATCGCGTTTCTTCTGGATTTTACATGAACAGATTTACGGATATATAAAGGCCGGTATTAGTTGGTAGTTTTAGGTTTAAGTTTGGCTGTTATACGATTAAGATAGTGAATATTGTTAAGAGTTGTAGAGAGCTAAGTTGTTTGAGTTAATTAATGAAGTGACTAGTGTCAGAGTGTATAGTAACGTAGAATAAATTATTGCTGTGTTAATTGGACTTTGATTTTGAAATAAACGGACCCAAGATTTCTCTCACGCACAGCAAAGGCGCGACATTGGTGTCAGAAGTGAGACATAATTCGAGGACAGTGAGGACTGCAAAGTGAAATCCGATTGCAGAATAGTGCGCGGACACTAGTGTGAGTGAACACTATAGTCAGCACTCGGACAGTTAGTGTAAGCAGTGCGACAATCACCAAAAGAGACTTAACTGATCATGTGTATTACCCCGGAAGTGACTGTATACCGGATTTTGACTGTGATTGTGAATTTTCGAGTAAGTCTCAGAAAGTTCTGTTTGGAAACCAAAGGAGATATCGAATTTCTGACTTTCCCGACGTATTCGAAACATCAATCGTCATTGACTAGAAGAGCAGTTTCGGAAAAATTCTAAAACATTCTATCACCAAGGGGAACGTGTTTGCTATATCAATTGACATCCAGTAAAGACATTCCAAGAAAATTCTAGAACATTCTATTCGAGAATAAAGCAACTCATCCAATTTGTGACTCCACCGACGTGTTTGGAACTTCATTCAAAGACCAGAGAAGATATTTGAAGAGAGTTTGAGGGAAATTCCAGAACATTCTGTATATGTCTATTATGAGACAACAAGCAAAAATGGAAGAACAAAAAGTTGAAGAACTTCTGCATAAAATGTTGGAACTTCAAGAGACCAAACGACAACAAGAAAAACAAGACGAAGAGGCCAGGCGACAAAAAGAAAAACAAGAAGAAGAAGCCAAACGACAACAAGAAAAACAAGACAAAGAAGCCAGGCGACAAAGAGAACGGCAAGAAGATCTTGGAAAACTACAGAAAATATTTCAAACCATACACGGATTTGTCGCTAACCTAGAACAGAAGATTACGGAAGTAAAAACCGAAGTTGAAGACGATGTTCGGGAAGTTAAAGACTATATTCGAGAAGTTAAAAACGACCTTCAGGAAGTGAAAGCTGAGGTCAAAGCCGATGTTCAGGAATTAAGACAAGAAGTTGAGAACCAAAAACAAGCACTGGAAGATAAGGTGAATAAAATTAGAAATACAGTCCATCAATCCAGTTAGTGTTGGGACATTCTCTAGTATGGAGAAAAAACCACCAACTTTTGACGGTTCTACGTCCTGGACCATGTATATTCGACAATTTGAAGCTGCTGCAAATACCAACGGATAGAATGATCAAGAAAAAGCTACGGAACTGATAGTGGCGCTACGAGGACCTACTTTAGATCTTCTTCAGTCAATTCCTTCAATCCACCAATAGAATTACCAGCATCTGAGTCAGACAGTAGAATTGCGTTTCGGAGACCATAACAGGCAAGAAGTACTTATATATTTAGAACTCAAGCTAAATCAATAATTCAGAAACCCGGCGAGAGTTTACAAGAATTCGAATCGCAAGTTAAAAGGCTAGTGAGTTTGACGTTTCCTGCAGCTGGGGAAGACATGCAGGAATGGATGGCAGTATCTGCGTTGCGTTTATTTTGGATCTACCACCTTCAGGCACAGAACATTAGTCGCCGATATAAAAGATGATTTGATTTTGGGAATAGATTTGATCGGCCAACGTCGTTTCTCTTTCGATCCTTCTAAAGTCTGTTTTTTTTTTAAAGATAAAAGTCAAAATGACATTATGTTGGCAATACAATGTAAAATAATTGTCAATGCTTTCAAATTTTTTATGTAGAAAAGGCTTGTGTTGCCAACATAGTTACTGAATTTTTGACTTGGGGAATTATCTTTAAAAAAAAAAACAGATTTTATGAACATCCTTAAATTTGGCAATGAAGAAATTGTCCTAACTACACAAGAAGAATCCCAAGAAGGAGAAATCATGGAAGCACCTCGATCCAGATAGACTTCAGGAAGCTACAGATTTCATCTTGAAAGCAGCAGACGTATTTGTGATGGATAATCAAACCGGACGGACCAGAGGGAATTTTCATATTTCTCAAACTATTTTTTTTTAGATACTTCGTCATCAGTTATAACATAATTAACTTTTTTCCATTTTAATTTATACGTTGTACGAAATAAAAATTATTGAAATTCAAATGAAATACTTTGGCGCGAAAACACGAAGTTTCAATTTGACAGCGCTTGTGACGTTGAGATTTTGTAAACATAAAATACGCAGCAAACGAACTCTTGCTGACGCAGTGCTATTTTTGTGTTATTCAAGTGTGTTAAAGTTTGCTTTTTGTGAAAATTGTCGCAATGGATGCAGAATATTGTGAAGGACTGCTTTTGTATTTTTTTTACGTGCAAATTCCCTATCACAGATTTCCCTATTGACGGGTTCGTTTACAGAATCGTGACGTCAAAACAGGTATTCATCATAGGAGCATTTTTTGGCGGGAAAATTTTTATTTCAAATTTAATATTATTTTTTGTGTAACAAGGGCGGTATCAGTTAAATAAAAACTGGACACACAATAGGTAGTAGTAAACAACAGAGCAATGTTGTACAAGATTTTTTTATTCAAAAACAATAATAAATGAGCATACAAAATACAAAAATAAGAGCTTAGCTCTTCTAATCATCTTATTCACCTTCTTCGTGAGGAGAGCACTATAGAGCTAAATCCTTAGACTTTTTTGAAGATAGGAGGCTTTAAAATAATTTTTGTATACAACTGGAATAATTTCCTTATTAACTAAAAATAATAAATCCGTTTTCTTCTGCTCGGAAATTGGGAGCCTCTTGCTGTATTTGCATTTTAAATAATTTGTGTTTCTTCTGGTTTGCACAACATTAAATTCTAAGAAGGACTCATCACTTAAGGAATATTTGTATTGCATTACAAAAGGCTTTGATCTTTCAAATCGGAACCACTTTACATGTAGCCACTTTATTGATTCACCCAACGTTATGGTTTTCCCATTTTGCATTATTATTGAAGCATGTTTTTGCAAGTCGTAAAAATCTGGGTATACAAGTGTATTTACATCATACGGGTGTGGCTTGTTGTGTCTGGCCATGCCTATAAGAGCTGCCCATTCTTATGTTGTAAATATTTTTTTATGCTTTCCAGCATGCTCAATCGTTGCATGGATTGAGTCAGCTTCTAAATAGGAATGATCAGATTCCATGAGTTTTAAATCGATACTTCTAAGATGTTGAATCTTTTCAACGGCAACATGCATGCGATTTTCTACCTCTTACCTTGATAATGGACCTACAATAAATGTGCAGTAGGTGTATATGACCTAAAGTAATCTACATATGGACTTATTTCACAATTGGTAAAAAATGGACATACTATATTTGTGCTTTAAACCATCGATATTGTTTTCGTCTAAGAATGACATGAGACGAGGCTTTACCAGATTCTCAATAAGTTTTGACAGCGTTGACAATAAAGAAATTGGTCGATAGTTAAATGCAGAGGCGTGATCGCCAACTTTGTATAGAGGGAGGACTTTAGCAATCCTAAAAGACGATGGAAAGGTACCTACCTGTCACAAAACAAAAATTGATTACATTAGATAAAGTAGCGATGGCTCTGTTGGGAATGCTCTCCAGAATTTTCAATGAAATACCATCATCAGTTGCAGCTTTTTTATTTTTCATGGAACTAATTGTTTTTAGAATTTCGTGAGGGGTAATTGGGTGGAACGCATGAAAATGTTCGGCGGTGTTGATGTTTGACAGATAAATGAGTGGATCTGCATTGAATGGTAAGTCTTTGGTCAAATTATCAGCAACTGAACATTAATATTCATTCAAGAGGTTTGTATCGATGTTTATTTGGGGTGATTTATTTGCTCTATTAGTGATTACGTTAACGATGGCCCATGATTCCTTTTGTATATTATTAGAGCTGAACAGGCGTTTAGAGGAAAATAGCTCTTTCGCTTTTCGAATAACATTCCTATATATTCTTTGTATAAAAGATAATAAGATTGCAGGAAAGTGTTATCAGAGTAAGCCCTCCTAAGGCTGTTAAGGAATCTTAGATTGGAGGCAGAAGTACGTATTTCTGGTGTTAGCCATTTTTTCCGCTCTTTGCGCTTTGGCTTTAGGTGGCGAAGAGGGAAATCTTTGCTGACCTTGTTTGCCAGACCGTTATGAGAAGCACCCAAAGGCTCTGGCTCTCTGAAAACAGAATCACATTCAAATGAGTCACAAGATTATCGAAATTTTTGAAAATTGGTGGTACTGTAAATTCTTCCCAACTTTGCAGTGTCATTGTTGCAAGCGTAATTGATAGGAATGGTAGCTAAAATAACTCTATGATCGGAAAGGTCTGGATCAAACACGTTGCAAGATACGTTATCATTTATATTCGAGGCAATGTAGTCTATTTTAGTGGATGAAGTTTCAGTAACTATACCCATGACTCATGAACACGCATGTTAAGATTTAAAGATTCAAACAAGTTTAACAAATTAATGGTAGATCTATTATCTGTGTCGTCAAAATCAATGTTAAGGTCACTTGCAAGTAAAACCGTATTATTTATAGGAAATTTGGACAATAAAAATTCAAGTCTTACCCGAAAGACGTTTAAATGACAATTTGGGGACCTATAGATACAAACAATAAAACATATGAATTTTTCGGAATGAATATTTGAAAATTCAAATTGCATTCCAACAAGC